AGCAGAAGTAAAGAAGGGTGAGAGGAGAGGGCAATCTTGTGACTGGGAGTGGCAGTGGTGGTGGGAGGAGTGTTGCTTTTCTATTTTTATTGACACCAGTTAAGGGACACCACTGCGTACCAAGTGCTGTGCTGGGCCTTTGTCATAGATCATCTCCCAAGAATCTCACAATGCCAGTAAAACACGTATCACAGCAGAGGTTCAGAGAGGTGAAGTGATTTTCCTAAAGCCACACAGGCAGGAAAATAGTCCTAAGACTCGAACCAAGACCTGTCTGAAGTGAAGGCAGTTTACTATTTCTGCAATAATTGTCTTTCCTTAAGATGCAGCTGTGTTCTCATGGGGTACTCACTCTGGAAGAAAACAGAGCACCTCACAATCACAGCAACCCAAGTGGGTGTAGTCACAGAGGCACATGGCACGAAGAGCAGAGAGCAGAAGGGCAATGGCAAGTCATCAGGGGAAGGGTGAGAGGTGGAGGAGAAAACTTTCATCAGTGTTTGTTGGAGAAGGACGAGTTCCAGAGCCACTGTCCTGAGCTACTGGTACCTGCAGAGGAAGCAGGCTGGTAGGCCCTTTTTGGGGGAGGCCTCATCTTTCCCAGGGAAGAGAGACAAAAAAAAAATGGAGGGTCATAGAGACTGGTCATGTGGGCCTGTGTGTATGTGGGCAGTGGTGCCTGGCCAGAAGAAGGTGTGGAAACTAGCCCTTTCGAAGTGTCTTGTGCGTGTCACAGTTGGTAGCAGGAGTGATTTAATAATGACACTGACAACATGCACAACTGTCATTACCCGTTTTACCAGTAGGGAAACTCCTTGAAGTTCAGAGATGTTGGACATCCTGTCTGGGGTCACACAGTGAATCAGTGGAGAAGCAAGACTGGAATTCAGGTCTGTGTGACTCCAGATCCATGCCCTTCATAGCTCCATTCCATTAACTCTCCCACAGGATTACCAAAAAAGGACCCAGAATGCTGTGGGATAGAAAAGGAGAGCTCAGTATGGGTGTCAAGACTCACACAGAATCCTGCCTCTCCCATTGCCTTGCTGAGTGATTCTGATCAAGAGATTTAAATATTTTAAAAATAAATGATTTTATTACAAAATAGTATATGTTCATTGTGTTACACTTGAAAAATGCAGACTAGTGGAGAGGAAATAAAGGAGCAGCCACAGTCCTGTCACTTCAGTGTTTGTGTGTGCTCCATGGGAGAAGGGGAGGTGTAAACTTCTCTGAAGCCCTGGTTGCTGTGCTCCCTTTATTCATCTAAGCCAATTTCCAGGGCATCTCCTGAACCCCTGCCCCAGTTCCTGACTTAGACCTTATCAGGAAACAAGGGCAATTTAGCAAGGTCAGCAATAAGAAGCCCCAAGGCCCAGGAGCCTCCGGGCAGGGCTCCTCCACCCACAGGTGGGTCAGACCAGGCTTGGAGGATGAGCAGGAATCTGGCAGTTGACAGGATGGCAGGAAAGGTGCACCAGGCAAAGGGCTCATCACACTTATGGAGCTGGAGTTCCCATGTGATGGGAACATGGAGTAGGAGACAAAACTGGAAGGATCAAATGAGACCAGGGTGAAGGCAGTTTGCTGCGTCCAGTCCACATTGCAAGATGAACAGTACATCTCTTAGAACTTTTCCACCTTCATCCACATTGCTTTTCCCAGTGTGTGCACCATGCTCTCCTGTCCCCTCCCCTCCCCTGCCAAAAAAAAAAAAATTGCAAGTAAAGAGAATGAAGGCCCAGCAGCACAGTGTGACTGGCTGCCTTTAACTAAGTCTGCGGGCAGGAGAGACCTTTTATCCCCTGCAAGTTAATGCAAACTGTTAGGGAGATAAATAAACGACAGAGCTGCCGATGGACTGTTGGGCTCAAAGCAGGGACATTTGTCTCACTTTAGAAGAAGGACCTGGAGGGCTCAGCCCCATCGACTCGTTCATTGTGCTGTTATCTGCCAGAGAGGTGGTGACACCACAGCAATTAAGACAAACTTTAGTCTGTAAGTTCCTGCCTGCAATCTCAGGGCTTCAAAACAAGACAAATGGTACTGCTGAGGGAGGAAACAAAGTCTCTTTCCGACTGTGTCCAAAGTCACAGCCAATATTTGTAGTTATTCAGCAGAAAATTTGTCATTATGAGGCCTGACTCTGCTGGCTTTTCTGCCCCATGTTATAATCCCTCTTTGTGGCACGTGCCAGCCTAGGCTGTTCCTGAGGCTACACCTGCCCTCCCAGAGTGGCCTCATCCCCTGCCAACCCTACCCATCTTGCCAAACTCCTACTTTACAAGCATCTCTGGTGGATCAGGACGTGATATTTGCCAAAGACCGAAGGCTGACCAAGCCAGCAAGTGCCACTGTAACCCAGCCCTACTGGGTGGCTGACCTTACTCCGTGTCACATGCTAGCAGTGAGTCCCCTGAAAGGACCAGGCCTAGGGCCCATGTCCTGACCTGTTTACTGCTTCTACTTGCCTCTCAGCTCCTGATCTCACCACCACACCTGTTATTCTTTGCCGCAGCACCTGGAGCTGACATTGGCATTCCTCCCTTCTCCATGCCTCTCACCTGCCTTTGGGTGGAATGGTTTCTAGCTGCATGAAGTAAAAACACGTAATCCTCTCAATGTGGGGGCTGGTTCCAGGTCCAGGTCCTGTCTTGTGGGTCCACCTGGCCTGAAGAGTGGAGTCAGGAAGGGGCAGTGGGTTGAGTGCTGAGGGGGCCTCCTTGCCTATAAGCCATGTATCAGATGCAGAGGAGGCCCCTCCTTTGTAGTGTGACCCAGGGGTCCCAGGAACACTCTTCTCAAGGCCTGTCTTCAGGTCTGAGAGGACTGTAGCCATAGTTAGTCAGTTCCTGTGTCCAGGAGGCTCTCATCAGGTGAGTGGGGACATGGAGGGCTGGAGTGGGAGACTATAGCAGGATGGTGACAAGCCCTGAGGCAGAGGAGTTGCCCCCAAGAGCTCAGGTCTGAGGGTCCTATCCCTCTGTCCCACGCTCCCTCACACACCTTTGTACACCTTCCCTGGGCCAGGTCCTAGGGATAAAGATGAACCTTGAGGGATTGGGTTTGTAGCCAGAGAAGGAAATAAAGATGCTGCCTAGAGGAAGTGCTCTTTGAGAAGAAGGTAAGGAAGCTCTGGGCTCTCAACTTGGGGTCATGAGAAGTTGTGAACAAAGCTGTGTTAGTCCATGCATATGGGTGCATATTATCCTGGGCTGGATGCTCATATATTATTTGGGCTTGATGGCACAAATGGTAAGACCTTGCTCACATATTATTTGCTCTTGATGGCCCAAATAAGGGATGGGAAGAGCTCCAGGACTTGAGACCATTCCCCACATTAGCAGATACACAAACCGAGGCTCAGATGAAGTTTGTCAGGGGCCACCCTGGAAGCTGGTTTCCAGGTTGTCTGAGTAGCATTTCTCAGTGCCATGGAGGTCGCTGGGTGAACCGCAGTCCTGAAGAGCTAGTCAAAGTACAGATCCCTGGTCCCTACCCTTAAAGGAATTGACGTGCTATCTTTGCACACCAGAGTTTTGGAACCTTGGTACATGTGCACATGTGTGCTCATGTGTGAGGTGCTTTTGGAAATGACTTCTGGAGCCTTGGTTAAGAGTGGGACTCTTGAGTATCAAACAGTGCTTTGCTCCTTACTTGCTTGGTGATCTCAGCAAGTCATTCTGCATCTTGTCTCTCCATCTGTAAAGTAGGCAGAATACTACTAACATCATGGGATTGTTGCAAGGATTAAACAGGTTGATAGTAAGCCCTAAGTGCAGGACCTGGCTTGGAATGCCTACCCATTTTTCCTACCGCCCTTGATGTGGAATTTGGAGATGACAGTGTTGTTGGGTGCATCATAAGAACAAGAATGTGATGTAGGTCTAGGTGGCAGCTGGTTCACATTCTGGGGGTTGGGGTTAGACCCAGGCTTCCCACCTTGTGGGGAGCCTCTTCTCAGAAAACTGCTCCCAGCTCTCCTTGCCCTGAGCACTGGCCCAGGGAGTATGGTCTTCATGGCATGGGATTCACCCAATTTTGTAACTTTCTGAGCCCTAGGGAAATGGTAGACAGTGAGGTGAATTCTGCCAGAGCTCCAGGGCAGCTGCAGGCCAGTACCTTGAAGTGTAACTAAAAGTGTAATGACCTCACCTCTGCAGAAAACCGAGTGAAGTTCCAGATGGGGGCCATTTCATGGGGGCACTGGCCTGAGCATGAATTGGGAATGACTGATTCACCTTCTTGGCCAGGCTGTCTTTGCACTGGAGAAATGGCATGAAAAACAGACAAGCATCTTTTCACTGTGGAGTTTCTATTCTAAATGGAGGGTGGGGACGGTGTAAAGAAGTAAAACAAGTGGTTTTGTCACACAGTTGCAATGAGTTGGAGGAGAATGGTACAGACAAGAAAGAGGCACCTGAGTTCTGGGGAGCAGGGGTGGGGTTGTGGGTTTAGTAGTGGGGGCTGGTAGATCTCACGCAGAGCTGTTCTGAAGTGAGCCATGTGGATACATGGGGAAAGAACCCTCCATACACCAAAACAAACGTCTGAATTAACTGGTATAATGCTAGCTGTCTCATCCCAGTAAAACTGTCTCATCCCAGCTCATTTAACAGCCAATTGCAGGTGTTCCTCAAGAAGCGGCCCCCATTCTCCATACCATGATTCAGGAATTCAGGTTTCTTCCACTGTGGCTCAGTTTCCAGCTCTCACCAAAGTTATCTGTTGCCCTTTACCAGCAGGATGAAGACTGGGAAAGCACAGCTGCATCTTGGGCTTCTTGGCCATTCTCATCCCATTGAGAAAACCTAGTTTCATGGTCCCTGTTAAATGCAGAGGACAGTGGGAGATGCAGTCCTTGGCTGGGCAGCAGCATCCCAACTCCAGCTCCACACTGTAGAGGAAGTGTGAACTTTTGGAGGCTAGATGTTTTTTGTCATGGCCCTGAGGTGGGAGTGTGCCTGGAAGTTGTAGGAGCAGCATAGAGGTCAGCTGGCTGCAGTAAAAGGAGGACTGGGGGTGGTGAAAGGAGTGAAGGTCAGTTAAAATGGCGGCGGGGGCGGGGGGCAGGTCATAGACTCACTGAGGATTACAACTCTGGTGGGGGAAGACAGTCCCAAAGCAGTAATACTTTTATTCCCATCAGTGCTGCAGAAAGGGTCTGGCCCTTTACAAAGAGTGATAGGTAAATAGAAGGGATGTGGGGTCACAGGAGTCTCCATTCTCACCGCCCTGCCCCTGTCCCCACATTGCCAGAGTCAGTGCCTCCAGACCAGGGGATGAGGGCTTGCCTTTGACAGCATCCCAGGCAAGGCCATCTCTGGCAGAGTGGAAGGCAAGAGCAGGAATCTGGGCCCAGCAAAGTTCTTCTGATGCAAGCAGCAAAAGGAGCCTTAGGTGGGCCGTCCCATTGATGACTGGTCCTGGACTGTCAGTGCCCCATTGAGGCCTCACGGGGGCCCTTGCTGGCTTCGCCTCTCCTCCAGTGCCCGACACACCCACATGGACACCACAGCAGCATTTCTGTCGTTGAACTTCACGATGAATGGGTGGCCCTGCAGGGGAGAGGAGTAGGTTTGACAGCAGTTTCCAGACTTCATACCTCAATATGATTTAAGGTCTGTTCTCAGCCTGGCCCTCATTTCTTTTTCTCACTAACCCAGCAAGGAAAAGAGGGCAGCTTTCAGTCTTACTTCCCAGCCTAGATAACTGAGGCCCAAGGTGGGACAGTGGCCTGCCCGTGATCTGGAGCACTCACCGGCATGCCTCTGCTAACTTTTCTGGAATGCTCTGTAAGGGTAGCCTGTCTTCACACTCTGGCTCTTCCTTAGCTTGGCCTCACTCCACAGCTACTCAGCCAAGGCCCAGCCCCTGTGTGGCCAGCTTTCCAGTTCAGCTATGGCTCAAAGACTCACCTTGTCAGAGGCTATGCCAATCCATTTTAGTTTTCTTCTTTGTCTACAGGTCCCTATACATAAATCACAGTCTACAACTGGAGGGAAGACAAAACTCATAAGAGGAAGGATGACAAGGAAGAAGATGTGCTGGGATGTATGGGTGGTTTGGGACAAAGGGCTGAACTTTGCCAGTTCTGTCTCCATGTGGCCTGTGTCTGATTCTAACCTACTTAGCCTACAGGCAGGCCAGGTTGTATTTAGCACCAAGATGTACACTCCAAATCTTAGGGCCACCTGTGAGTTCCCAGGGAAGACCAGAAAAAAGCAGGGATAGCTATAGGGCTGCCCTGGCAACAAGTCAAAGGTGAAAGGAATACTGGGAAGACTTCTCTTTCATACTTCTCCCCAAGTGGTTTCTTGGCTAAGGAGTTTATAAGTAGTGGCTTCCTTATCTACCAACTTTGTAGCTTGCATGGAAAACAGGAGACCCTGGGGAGTCACAGTGATGAGCAGAGAGAATGGGGAGATAAGCCTCCCTGTGGCAGCCCCCTCTTCTGTTTTTCCTTCCAGCTGCAACCCCCTTACTCTCTCCTGTTTTCTTAGCCTCTCTTGGGCCCCTTCCCCATCTCTGCTGGCCCAGACAGAGCTCTCAGGGTCACTTTTCCAAATACTTGGCCATGACCTACAGTCGAGCAGACCCTGGGAAAATGCTCAAAGCACTATGTTGCATGGCAATAACTTCATCACATTCTCTCCATCATGGCCAGAAAGGATGTGGTCCGTGGTGTCTGGATCCCAGCATCTGCAGGAGCTGCAGAGGACCAGGCCAGGGGAGGGATAGGGGCTGCGTGGCCCACCTCAAGTCAGGTCTGAGGTATCTCTGGGGACAGGGAGAGAGAATCCCTAATGTGGTCTTCCCAGTTCATGTAAGAGACACCATCCCTAGGAGCATGTGCATGGGTCTAGTTCAGAGGCACAGAACACTGTCAGAAATGCAAAGGAGGAGGAGCTCAGCTTAGGGCACCTGGCACATAGGTCACAGTGTAGATTCCCAAAGTTACAGTGCAACCAGACCTAGAGCTCAGATGGACATGTCCTGTGACTACTCATGGCACTCTGGGGGGCTCTCAACACAGCTGCAGAACCCCAAGAGAGCTGAGGCTGGGAAGAAGAGGACCTGGAGGTCAGGCTGGGTGGGGGCTCTGTCTGGACTTCCACATGTTCTCTTCTCCGTATATATGCCCACCCTCCACTTGCTTTCTCTAATGGCTGTTTAAATGCAGGAAATTCTTCCTGAGGTCTAAGTGTACATACTTCTTTTCTGGTGGCTCGGGAGAGGTGACCTTGTGCCCTTCTGAAGAACAAAGGGAGAAGCTGTGCTCAGGAGCCATAGGCCCCTCCCCCCAAGCCTGGGGTAATACAGTGTCACTTTTCCAGAATGCCGGGTGACTTTGGGGCCATATGCTCCATCTCTGTTGTCATCTGTTCAGGAACAAGCAGAGCGGAACTACAGGAGGGGAGTGGAGGCATTCTTCCACATTACAGGAAGGGCCGATGGCCGCTCTGTGGGGAAACAGTTGCCCAAGTGCCCCATGGTAGTTGGGAGATGGAAGGGGCTCTGTAGAGACACTTGCCCTTTCCTGCCTCCCTTGGCTGGGAGGTGACTCCCATCTCCTGCATACGTATTGCTGATGAAGCATGTGATATCCCTGATGCTTTGTATCACTCTGCAAGGAAGTGACCAGGAAAAAATGACTGTCCTCAGCCACTGCTGAATGGTTTAGGATGGGAGCCAGAGAGGGTGATGTGAGAGGGGAAGTCACAGAGGGAGAGAGAAGACAGACATACAGAAAGCATGTCTGCAGAGCCTGCCTGAGCACTGGCTTCCTTGTCTCGCTGCAGAAGCCTCCATTTCCTGAACTCTCACAGGGCCAACTGTGACAATTAAAACAGAGTGGCTCAAGTTTTCTAGTCCACAGACTTTGCCACAAAGAATGGAGACATAATGAAGGAAAAGGGATGGGATGGTAAGAAGCAGGATGGGTGTGAGATAAGCCAATGATCAGAGACAGCAGGTGTCACCTGGTGCAGACTCCCACTAAAGGGGCCAGCATGAGGAGGGTGCTGGTGACAATTCAGTTATGTCATGAAGAGGAACAGTAGCTGTTCAGCATACTCCCTCCTTTACCTGGTCACTATGTCGGCTTTAATTCTTGCCCACCTGTTCCATTGCCATGAGATGACTTCCTGAGGAAAAGCCAACAGGACATTCCAGAGCCTCTCCATTTGGAAGGCAGAGTTGGTATGGCAGTTGCTGGGCCACACTTGAGGATGCACCTGCTACAGTAGGTAAGACTGCTGAGACAAGGCCTGGACTTCAGTACAGTGCTCATTCAGGGACACCTCATGGTCTACCCTCAGTTGGGTGAGTTTCTTCTTAAAGAAACTTACTTCTTAAGTAGAAACTTACTGATTTGGGGTCCCTATGTGTTCTTCTCTTTATATAATGTTCCCAAAGAATAAGAGGCATTTGAATTGTTTGGTAACTTTCTTCCGTGGCTACAGGGCTTGATGCAACTCCTGGTGCACTGCAGGCCTCCCAGAGCACATATGGAATAGGAAAGTAATCCACACTGTGTCCGCACCTCCCCTATCATGCACTTGCTGTGGCCAGGCATGGTGGATGCCCTCCAACTATACACAGCCAACTTGCTCCCTGATTTTACAGACACAGGAAACCAAAGTTCCAGGAAACTCAATGCAGGTCAAGGCTGTTGGGCTAGAAGGTGGTAGAGGGAGGGTTTAAACTTAGGATGCTCTTCCCCTATTGAAGACACAATGCTGTCCACCTGACCCTGAGGTTGGGCACTGTGAGTTTTAGCTTTCTACTGTATAAAAAGTTATCTGGTCCATTGTAGGCACTTAGTAGCTAATTCTTAACTGAAACTGAAATTGGAGTGGAAAAGGCATACTTGTGTCCTCCTTGGTCACTGCTAATCATTTAACACTCAGCAGCTCTAGTAAGTGTTAATGTTATCTTCATCTTACAGATGATGGAACTAAAGTGCAGAAAGATCAAGCTTATTCACGCCACAGAGCTGGACCTTGGCATTTTGTCTTTCTCAGCCCACTCCCTTGATTCTCACACTCTCCTTTCCTTCTCGGTATGGGGTAGGATGCAGGTGCCCGACCCCTGCACAGGAGCTGCCCCTAGAGTGGGCACTCTGGCTGACAGTGTAGGGTCCCCTAACTCTCGGAGCTGCAAAGACCAGACTCTGGAGTTTAGGGCAGAAGGAACAATTGGGGTACAGTAGAACATACCCCAAACTGGCTGTTACTTGGTGGACCTGTCTTCACATCGTCTTTCAGATGTCATTTCTCCCTCCACAGAACTGTCCAACACCTTCTTTTTGGCCCTCCCACGACACACGTTGCTGCAGTGTGTCACCATCATTGGAGACCCTCTTATCCTAACTCCAGCCTGACAGCCACCTGAGGGCAAGGCAGTGCTAGTCACAAATGAAGCGGTGCACCCCCAATGAGTTAGCTATACACACTGGCTAGTTCTAGCTCCTGCTCAGAAGTCTGGTCCTCAAGCTGACAGAACCATATGCTGGGGTGGGCAGATCCCAGGAGAAGGGTTCCTAAACTCAGACTGCTCTAGACCTCTGGGGCTTCTCTGGAGCCCAGGGTGGGAGATTATCAAGGACCCTATATAAGCAGGTGAGCCTGGCCCAGCTATCCCAGAGAAATCCTAAACTGGTACAGTTCAACAAGCTGCTCAACAAGCCAGCAGGGGCAGCCCTGTAAAACAGGAGCCTGTGAAAAGTGACTTGAGAGCTGGAGGGGACCCCAGAGGCCATCTCATTGCCCCTCACTTCCCACTCCTTGCAGGGTGTGAACCTTGCTTGAAGACTCTCTAAATCTCATTAGGATTCCAGCTCCCTTCTCAGCACTGATGCAGGACTGCTAGGATTGGATGGGACCTCAAAGACCTGCAGGACCACAAGGTATGAGGTAGGTTCTACAGATGTTTCATTTCAATTCTGCTAAGTGTTTTAAACTATATTTAAAAATAACATACACGCAGCTGTGTCTAACTCAAAATGCTGCACTGAACATTGGTGACATGTCACCTTGCACTGTGACGTTATTTTGTGCAGGATATGGAGCAAAGTCAGCCAACTTGTTGACTTCTGATATGGACAGTGACAATCAGAAGGGATGTTGTGGTAACACTGGTCATGTGAAAAAAACTCAGAACCAGGCTATTCACTCAAGATTGTGTGTACAAATCTGTGTGACCACAACACTAAAACCCAAGCAGAGCAAGCGCCCATCTCCTGCACACCTGCTAGCCACCAATCAGATGATGGCAGCGAGGTTAGGAGGGCCAAGGCTGCTCTATGTTTCTGATGGTATCGGCTCCAGAGGCTTTGAGTGCTTCTGTCTATATTTACCACAAGCAATTCACACAAATAGTTGTTAGATACTAAGCTTTGAAATAAAACTTTTCTGTTACTCTTTTTAAAACCACCAACATGGATTCAATGGACATTTAAGTTAAGACAGCTGGGTGACTAAGGATTTCCTGGATGTTGTGTATAGAGATAAGATTCTGAGCCAATCTGCATGCTGACACAGACATAAGATTGCAC